GTCCAAGGCCTGCACACAGTTCAAATCAATTTGTCACACTTCACTTCCTACGGGCATGTGTGGGCTCTTTCTAAAAAAACCTTTCAGTATTATGAACCTCAAAATCATCAAGACTCAAATGAGAACAAGAAAGGATTGTACCAGAGGCCCTGTGCTCCCATTATTTACAGGCTTTTTTTTTTAATGTGCATATTCACTTTAACAACCTAGTAACCAGTTAGTTCCATTTTGTCTGAATGGTTTTTTTCCCCCTCTGTGTTATTTCCCTGTATCTGGCTGCTATTGTAATGAGCAGCAACAATCAGAAAAATAACAATGATAATAAAATAATTGTCATTCCGGACTTACCTCACTGGCTTTCTTTTTAAGAGCTACTAGACTAGATAAGGGAAATGCAATAAATATAGCTTATAGCAAAGTTTAAGGCAAAAGAGCTCACACGATTCTTCTGGACAAGATGGGGGGGGGGAACAGGGCTTCCGAACGAGGAGAACAGTCATTAAGGGGTTAATGCCACTTTCGCAGTAGGTCCTTAGCAGAGGGCCCCAGGCATCTGTCCTCGGCCCATTTTACTGAGGGGTTAAATGAAGCCTAGAGGGCCTGCTTAGGAAATTTGCGGGAGACCAGAAGCCCTGAGGAAGAGCTAAAAAGCTGGGTTCGAGAAGTGGCCAGGTGAGAGCATTGGACCGAATCTGATAAGATTAAGACTTTCTCCTCCAGATCCGAAAAGCAAACATTTGGGTAATCAAGGGAGGGAGGTGTGGCCTCATAGCAATTGGGCTGAAAATGGGGGCGGGGGGAGAGAAGGGGAGGCTTAAGGGGACAAGAGAAGGATGGGAAATGAACAGCTCGAGCCTATCGAGGCCCATGGGGGGAGGGAGCGCTGACCCTCCTGTCCCCTGCCCTACTCAGGCCACACCTGGATCAGAGGGTTCTGGGAACAACGTTTTAGACAGAGCCCCTACAAGAGGGAAAGCAGGGTGGCTTAAGGCCTGAGCTTAGGCCAAATGAGGATTGAATGAAGGAACTGAAGGAATTTAGTCTGGAGAGAGGTCAAGTAAGAGGGGCAACCCATGGTTGTTGTCTTCCAGTATTTGTGGGGTTGTTCCATGGAAGAGGGATCAGCCTCACTCTTCTTGGCCCCCCAGAGCAGGCCCAGGAGCAATGGGGATGGGGGCGCTTAGTGGGGGTCCCCCGCAACCCTTCCTGCCCCAAAGAGTCTGGGCTGCCTCTTTAGGTGCTGGGGTTCTCCTCCCTAGAGGTCTGTTCAAGCAAAGAGTGGACACATCATTGTGGGGGATATCTGGTTAGGTCCTGCCAGGCCTTGGTGGGCCTTGAGGCCTTTTCCCTTTCTGAGCTTCTGTAACTTCTTCTGTTTGGTAACAACCTACCCCTTCCATGATATTTTTGTTAGCAACCGTTACCTGTGTATAAATCTCCTACTGCCTGTTACAGTCGCATGTGGGGAGGCTTCTGCTAAGATGAGAAATACAGGGGCTGTCCCACCTAATCGGTCTCTTCCCCAGTGCCCAGCATTAGAGCCTAAGGATTGTTGATGAGGGTTACAAGCAGGGTGGCTTGTATGGCCCTAAGGAGGAAGGCTGACTGCATCTGTCCCTTAGGGAAGGCTTCCCTTCCACAATATTTCCAGAATAAGTGGCTAGGATGGCTGTTTCTCCCAGCCCCCAGCCCCCAGCCCAGGGTCCTTTGGCCATGTCCAGAGCTGGTGGCCATGGAATACAGGCCAGGGAGGAGGAGAGGGAGGACAGCCCTATGCAAGAATTCTCTGAATCCAGCTACTCCTCCTCCAGGACGGATGGGAGGGACAAGGGGTGGTGGAAAGTGTGTCAGACTTGGCTCCGAATCCCTTTTGAAGCAGTGTAAGACTGCGGCAAGTAAATTGCTACATCTCTGAGCCTCAGTTTCCTCAGTGGGGATGCTAACAGTTCCTGTAGTACTCATCTATAAAGAAGCAGCCTCAGAGTCAGGAAGACCTGGGTTCAAGTCCAGTCCTGGACACAAGAAGGCTGTGTAGCCCTGAGCCACATACTTAGAAGCTCCAGGCAGCTTACTAAAATTCGGAAACTTCCCGATCCACGGAAGGACCCTTGTTAATTGGATGACCTTACTCTGATGAGCTCACAGACCCAAGGCCCCACCCCACCAAGAACCAGAATAAGAATAAGGTCCTTACCTCCCAGAGTCATCACAAGGTGCAAAGGTATCCCTAAGGTGCTTTGAGAACCAGAAGGCACTATATTAACCCAGGGATCTAGTTTTTGGTGCTGGGGAGCTCACTACCTGAAGAGGCAGTCTCTATTGGTGGGCAGCCGGGACTGTTGCAAACTTCCTCCTTAGCCTGAGGCCAAGTCCTGCAGAGCCGGAGCCCTGACCTCTGAATGCCAAGCAGAGCAAGGCCAATCCCTTCTTGGCCGGAGCCCTGGAGCCCCAGAGCCCCGGAGTCTCTGATTCCTCCCAGATGAAGGAGATGGGTTGGCCTAGGCAATTGCTCAGGTCATTCCAAATTCCCTCATTCTCTGCTCATGTCTTCCGTTAAGACAGAAAAAAGCCTTCTCTCTCCTCTTTTCTTGGCTTTCCTTGAACGTCTACCAGAAAAGCAACCCAAGGGGCTGATGAAGGTGAAGGTAGCTGAGTCAAGGGTCAAGAGCCTTAACTGGCCGGTGGGCCCAGGAGAAGGCAAGTGCTCTCTGTCTCTGCCTCTGTCTCTCCTCAACAGCAAAAAGGAAGAGCTTGGACCATATTCAATAGAACTCCAAAGAAATCAAATTATAATGACAATGAAATGACTAAAATCACTCAGGAGAAATCATAAGAATTCCAAGTCCCAACTGGGTTTTTGTTTTGTCTTTTTGTTTTTCCAAATTAAGCCGCATTTGTCAAGGGCCTGCTGCATGCAAGGCAGGGGCTCTGCAGGTACCCTCGGTGAGAGCCGGGTGTGGCCGGGCCCTGTTGGGGCTTTATGATGTAGAAAGAACAGGCGGCCAGGACCTTGACAGTTTCTCCCCAAAGAGCCTGAGAGGCCGCCTGAGGCTCCCAGAGGATCTCACTGGTTACTGCCATCACATCACCCTGCTACAAAGTGGCTGACACGGAATTTGAACCTGAGTCTTTTTCCAGCATGCCGGTCACTAGGGCCACGCTGCTGTTAAGGCAACGTGAAGCCAGAAACAAATAGAACACCCCATAATGTAGGCTAAGTCTAAGCAAATGAATAATGCCCGAACTTGGAAATCACTCCCTGGAAGAAGGGGAATTCGGGTTCTAGGCAGAAGGAAAGTGTGGGGTGTGAAGGGGGGGGCGCAAATAGTGAGGCTAATGACCCAGAGAGGACTCAGAGGGAGGAGGTTAAGGATCTTGAAAGCGAGATGAGGCAATTGAGAGCCACTGAAGACTTTTAAGTAGTAACAAACAGATGTATGCCTAAAGCAACTGGCTGCCCCTTGAGGCAGAAGGATGGCTTGGGGGTAAGGCAGCCCTTGGGTCGAGGCTGGCCACGCGCTATTCCTTCTCCCTCACCTTGAGCTCCCTCTAGCTTCTGTGTGTCCCAGGAATACCCCCAAGTGCCTGCTTCGATCCTGGAAATCTGCTTCCACGGCAGAGAATAGGAGAGGGGCCTTGGAACTCATTTAGTCTACATGCTTATTTTATGGAAGAGAAAACTAAGACCAACAGAGGCGAAGTGACTTATCCAAGGTCACACAGCTAGTAGGTTCCATTGGGGAGACCGGTTCAAACCCTGTGTGTCCTTAAGCATGCTCTGCCCCTCTTCGAGCCTCAGTTTCCCCCTCCGTAAAAACGTGGGAGGGCACCAAATGAGTTTCGGCAGTTTCCGCACTCGCTCCTCCTCTGCCCCGGGAGCCTTCAGCCCGCCCTCTGCTCTATTCTCGGCCCGCTAGGGGCTGGGTGGGGGTGGGGTGGGGGGCCTCTAGAGAGGTGTCCCTTCAGGCAAAGAGCGAGCGCTCGGAGCTAAGCAAGGCGGCGGGTTCGCGGCGGCCCCGGGAGCTGAGCACCTAGTTTGCAAGTGGCAACATCTCCCGCCTCCCCACTCCCGCCCCAGTCCAACTGCTGAGAGTCTTTGCAAATCTCGCAAGAAAGCGGAGCGCACCGGGCGCCCCTTAAGCCGCTCCTATCCAAGCCCAGGGCACTCCTCCACTCCCACCCCCACTGCTGGGCCCCGAGAATGCAGGCGGCCCGGGCTGTCCGGGCTCCCACCCAACCAGCAGCCTCTGCCTAGCTGAGTGACCTTGGACAAGTCTCCTGCCCTGTCAGGGCTGCCACGTTCTCCCTCTGAAAAAAGGAGGCGGCGGAGTGTGGGGGGGGGACCGGGGAGGAGGGGGGGGTGAAGATTGGCCTCAAGAGGTTTCCTAGGTAGAGATGGCGGAACGCTCGGGTCTGTCAGGAAGAACAGCGTCTGGGCCCATAGAGACCTGGCCATGGCCCTCCCGTCCCCTCAGCCCTTGGGCCGGCGCTGACCCGGACACTCCCCCCAGGCCTCCAGCGTCCCGGGACGAGGGCTCGCTCTCTGGCCGTGTCTCTGGCCGTTCCTGTCTCTGTCTTTCTCTCTGTCTTTGTCCCTCTGTCTGGTTGTCTCTGGCTGTCCCCTCAGTCTCTCCTGTTGCTTCTGAACTCAAGTTTCCAAACACGTGCAGTGGGGCTCTGGCCAGGCGGCAGGGGCAGTGGCGGCGGTGGCGATGGCCAAGGCCACCTCCATGGTAGGACGGGGGGGGGGGGGAGTTGCGGTCGCTGTAGACAGTTTGCATTTGCACGGCTTTACTCCTGCGGAGCTCGCCGAGTCCGGGAGCGCAGAGGCGCCAAGTGAGCGCTCAGGAAGCTAAGGGCGCGGGAGCCAAGCGGGTGCGGTTCACCGGCCGGCCGCCAGACTTGCCGGCTGGCAGGGAGGAAGGGGGTCTGGCGCCCGTCCCTTCCACTCCCCTCCTCTCTTACCCCCTCCTCTCCCCGCCCCTCCGGCCCCGGCTTACCTCCCCAGAGGCGCCCTGTCCTTCCCGGGAGCTTCTTCGCCGACTGACGGACTGTCAGACCTGCCGCGATGCCCAGGCGCTCCGCGGGGTCGCTCACTCGCAAGCCGGGCACCCGGCGACCGCTCTCACCTGCATCTGGAAAGGGGAGTTCGGTGAGGGGGGGGGCTGGCGAGCCGGGCCAGGCAGCCCCGGGCCGCTGCCCCCGCCTCGCCTCCTGCCCTGCCCGCCCTCGACAGCTGGCCCAAGGCCAGCCCGCCGGGAGCCAGCTCCCCGCGTTCCGTCTCGAGGGGACCCCGGGCGGCGCCGCACGTGGCCCAGGCTCGCGTCGGGCAGCGGCTCCCCTACCGAGTGCCAAGTCCCCAGAGGCAGTCAGCCGGCCAGCCGGGCACTGCCAGCCCTGGGCCAAACGGGAACTGCCTACTTACAGGCGAGCGGGCAGCTCGCGCACGGGCTGCCCCTGTCCCTCCGTGCGCCTCTCTGCGCCTCTGCTGCCTCGCCTCCCACTCCCGCTCCTGCCCGGCTCGCGCTCCTCCTGGCCCCTCCGCCTTGCCCCGCCTCTCCCGCCCGCCCTCCCCCCCAACATCCTCTCCTCCAGCACTAACCGGTGGCTGAGCCGGGTGGAAGTTCTCTCTGTCTCTCTCTCCCTCCCTCCTTCCCTGTCTCCCTCCGTTCTTCCCTCCTTCCCTCTTTCCTTCCTTCCTTCCTTCCTTCCTTCCTTCCCTCCTCTCTCCCCCCCCCCAGCAAGCAACAGAGTTCCCCCCACCCCCGCCTCCTCACCCCCTGCTGTGGCGGCTGTAGCTGTTGCTGCCCAGCTCTGAGCGGCGCCCCGGGGAGCGGAGCGTTTTATACCTGGGAGCAACACGAGCGGGGGAGTGGGGCCCTTTAATCACGGATTGGGTGAAAACCTCCCGCGGAATCCCGGGAGGGCCTGGGGTGTGTGGGGGGAGGGATATGTGTGTGGGGAGGGGACAGAACAGGCCAGGGCACCGACTGCCTGCCCGCCCCAAGAGGGACCCTGCTGGCCAGCTGGCCGGCCATCGTCCCTCTAAATCTAGGCGCTCTGCCTCCTGCCCAGGCTGGCCCCAGGACCACCTCCTCCCTGGCATTGCCATGAGCTAGCAGGGCTGGCAGTGGCCAGTGCCAGAGGTAGCTTAGGGTCTCATCTGTGAGGGAAAGGTCTGGGTGATGGGGACCCATTCTGTATGTGCGTGTGTGCCTGTGTGTAACAAACCCTAGGCATTGAGTGTGTGTGACAGACCCTATATATTGTGTGTGTTGGGGGGTGGGGGGAGGCAGGAACATTGGCCTGGGCTGATGAAGGCCCCAGAGGGCATCCTTGTGAAAGAGGCCTATTTGGAGCCCACTTGCCTTTAGTGGCCCAGTGGGGACCTCAATTCCTTCTCCCTGCACCCCAAATTAGGGGAGTGGGCTATTTGACCTCACTTCTGAAAGCCCAAGGCCAGAATGTCCAGGTGCAAAAACAAGAGGAAAGCAATCTGTGCCCTCAAGGGCTTTCTATTCTTTGGGCTCCTCTCGGACTGAAGGTCAGAAGCAGGGTTAGAGATCATCTCAGCAAAGGCAGCACCTTCCAGGGCGGGGGCCTCTTGCCAGAGGAGCCCCAAAGATCCTCCCAGTTTCACTTTTGCTCCCTGGGCTGGCTCTCCTGCAGCTCTGGCTCCTGCTCTGGGGTCAGTTCACCTTCGTGAAACAACCCCCAAGGGCATGAACCCTGAGGAGCAAAATTTGAACCTGAGCAGAAGGACAGGAACTTTAACTTCAAATGCTAATTACAGTGCAAGACGTTGGAATGTGACTCCAAGAACAGCTTTTGGGTCATTCCCGGTCAGCTCCCCTGTAGGTGCTGCAAGCTCATCTGCTCTGGAAAGTCCTCCCTGACTACTACTTCCTGCTGTTGCTGGCCAGCCAAAGGGGGTGCCGGGAGAGCACTCATGGCCTCCAGTGCCTGAGGTTGTGCCCAGGAGACGAGAGCAAAACCCCTGACCCAGAGACAGCTGGGAAAGCCGCAGGTAGCTTGTGGCCAGGGTGCTGGGCTTGGAGTCAGCCCTCCAATCCGGCCTCACCTGCTGTGAGGATGTGAGGCAGAGGCACCTGCCCTTGCTCTGTTTCAGGCAACTCCAAGACTAGAGAGTGCACGAGCACTCTACACTGAGGTAACTTTAGGTCAGGGCAAAAGAAATACCTGAAGTCCCTCCATCTCGAGAGCTGTTGTGAGCATCAAAGGATGCTCCATATGTACAGACAGAGAAAGAGAGAGACAAAGAGACACAGAGACAGAAACAGAGAGAGAGAGACAAAGAAACAGAGGAAGAGAGACAGAGAGAGACAGAGACACAAGATGCTTGCAAAGCTGAAAGTACTCTAGAAATGTCTATTATCGTTCGGACTAGAGCTCACTGGGACAGGGAGATCCCAGGTCAGGAATCTCCTTCTACCAATGCCATTTGGCACGTTTAAGGTAAGGTTACTTGCCTAGGGTCCACCTAGCCAATTCAGGTTGGGGCAGAGCTTGGACCTAGGTCTTCCTGCTCCAAAGTCAGCTCTCTACCCACTCCACCACACTGCTCCTCTCTGTTATTATTGTGTCTTCCCAAAGGAGCAGGGAGTGCCCGCGAAACAATGGGAACTTGAACTGCCCAAATGTCTGGGGGACCATGGAGGAAGAGAAATGCGCCTCATTCTGCACGGCCCCAGCCTAGGGGCTTAGGGCAGCACACACAGCACAGCACAGGAGGGAGATTGTGAAGCCAGAGAGTTTTCATCTTGCGGTCAGGAAAACGGGCCAACTCAGGAGTCCAGGGCTTCTTTTCCCCATTGCTTATGTCCTGGACCCCTTGGGCGGCAATTTGCTGAAGAAGCCTCTGGATTCCACTCAGAATAGTGCTTTTAAATGCACAAAATCAAATCTAGAGGATTTCAAAGGAAACCAATTCTATTGAAATAAGATTCATTCGTTTTTCTCCATCCAAAGTCCCAGACCCCTGGCGAGCTGTCTAGAGACTGCGGGGTAAGAGTCTGTCTCTTTGTCTCTCTCTGTCTCTGTTTCTTTGTCTCTTACAGCTATCCCCAGTGGAATGCGCTACTTGGAGAGGTAATGAGCTCCCCGTCACTGGAGGTCTGTGAGCAGAGGCTGAATGTTCCCTGGTCTTGGCCTCTTGGTTTCTGTCATGGGAAAAGCTAGCTTGCTATGGAACACTTCTACAAAGCCACAGACAGAGATACAGACGGACAGAGAGAGACAAAGACAGAAAGACAGTGACAGAGAGACTTGCTTATCTCCCCCCCAACACACAACACACACACACACACACACACACACACACACACACACACACACACACACACACACACACACAGTCGGAGTCTATGAGAAGCTGCTGAGATAGGCTCCACCTGGGTGTCAGCTCCTCCCATCAGCTCCGCCCAGAGCAGGAGCCCAGTTGTTGGAAAGACGCAGATGCACACTTAAGCTTACGGGTGTCTCTCCTCTAGTGAGACCCGTGCTGCAGGCCCCTGAAGGCAGGGCAGGTCTGGGAGTAGCCATCTCCACACTCCACCACCAGCTCTAGCATGTAGCCCCAGGGTTACTGCCAGAATGCGGGGAAGAGAAATCCTGCCACCCCCACCCCCACCCCCCCACCACGGCTTGCTGTGTTCTGACAAGATCAGAGATTTCCAGCTGGAAGGCCACAGTGCAGATCATCTGGTCTGACTCTCTTGATCTGATAGAAGAGAACAAGGCTGCCTGGCTCTGTCATCCATCAGCTGGGCACCTTTAGCTGAGTTCCTTCCCCTCTCTGGACCTTGGCTTTTCCATCTGTAACCCAAGTCTCTAAAGTCACCGGCATTTTTTTACACTCTGTGAGGCTATGTTAACAGACTGGAAAGAGGGCGCTAGGTCAGGGTGGGCTGAGTGGAGTGGGCACATAGATGGAGGGGGGAACACAGACTTATTAACCAAATTACCAGAGAGACTCAGGATTCCAAACCCAGCTCTGACACTTACGTACCAGGGTGACCAGTGTCACTTCTCTCTGGCCTCAGTTTCCCTCTCTGTAAAATGAGGGGAGTAAACTAGATGGTCTCTAAGGTTCCTTCCAGCTTGAAATAACTAGGAGGAAATTCTAAGGGGGTCAAACGTGGCCACTGAAAAGGCTTTACAGAGCAGCTAGGATAGACAAAGAAACATGTGGTAATCCCTTTTCAGACTGGCAAAGCATCTTGTTCCCACTAAGTCTGGAAGGAAGGGGCCATGAGTATTTTATCCCCATTTTACAGATAAGGAAACTGAGGCACTGAAAGGCCAAGCCACTTCCCCACATTCACGTGGCTATTATATACCTGAGGTAAGGTTCACTTCCAGGGCTCTGTTCCTGCCTGGCCTCTGTCCACTCAGACTGATAAAGAAAATCATGTCTACTAAGAGAGGGGTAGAGGAGCAGACCCAGAGATTGTGCTTTATTTGGTCTTTCAAGGCTCTCTCTTCCTTCTTCTAGTACTGTATGGGGGGGGGGGACTTGGGTCCAGGGTATTGCCCCCTGGGTGGTTCTGAGCACAAACTCCTGGGATTGGAACATGATGGCTTGGGTACCTTCCCACCCTCAGAAATGGCTGTGGAAATGCCCTGGGAGACACTGATCTCACCTCCTATACTTTGGGGCCTGCCAAGAATGTGTCAGTAGCATTAGGAACTCCTCTCCATCTGTCCACAAGTCAAGTTAGGCTGTCACCTTTGTTAAGTGCCTGCTATGTGCCAGGTGTGGTGCTGACCACTGGGGGGGGGGTACAAAGAAAGGCCCCAAATAGTCTATGTTCTCAAGGAGCTCCCAGTCTACAGGAGGAAACACCATGCAAACAACTTCTCTTGTACAACAGAGCTGTGGTCGTGCTAAATGGGAAGTGATGGCAAAGGGAAGGTGAGGCAGTGGTAAGTGTGTTTGGCAGAGGTTAGGACTTTAGCTGAGACCTGAAAGAGACCAGGGAGGGCAGGATGCAGAGACGAAGAGGGAGAGAATGCCAGGCATGATGGGGGGTGGGAAGTCGTGAAAATGCCTGGAGTTGGGAGATAGAGTGTTTGGTCCTGGAGGTGATAGCTGAGTGTGTGTGTGTGTGTGTGTGTGTGTGTGTGTGACAGAGAGAGAGAGAGAGAGAGAGAGAGAGAGAGAGAGAGAGAGAGAGAGAGCTGGGGGGGAGGTGCCATGGTCAGGCCTGTGCTTTGGGAAGATCACTTTGACAGCTGAAGATGGCCTGAAGTGAGGAGAACTGGAGACAGGCCACCCCCCCCCAATAGCTACTGCAATCACCAGGCCTGAGGTGATGAGGGCCTGTAGCAGAGGGGGCAGCAGTGTCAGAAGAGAGAAGGGGGAATGGTGACAGGCTTTGGCCTCTAGAGAGAGCAAGGAGCTACCTCTGCCTAAGGGGCCTCTAGTTGCTCTTTGCCTTTCTCAATATCCCCTCAGTGCTCAACACTGTGTCTGGCACACAGTAGGAACTTAACAATGCCCATGGACTCACTTTGTTGACTTTCCTGTTCCAAGAAGGCCTTGCCAGGCTTCAGTTTCTCCCTTTGGAAGATCTGCCAAATCCCAAGGTTAGAGTACCCTTCGTGGCCTAAATCACGAAAATGGGTGTAAAGATGTGAAGGGAGACAGAATGACTGAAGAGGCTGGGGATCAGGGAGGAGGGAGGGGGCAGGGGGAGGGCTCAGAGGGCTCTGTCGTGTGAATCGAGCTTTTCCACTAAAGCTGTTGGCGGGACATCCAAGGGGAAGTCTCCATTCTTTATATAGACAGAAATGCGGGAATGCAAAGAGCATTTGAAGTTGTGATGGCACAGGGCTCAGGGGAGTCCCAAACAGATGACTCACTGCCAAAGCCTGGCTAGCTTTCCTCTGCCACCATTGGAAGAAAGAGAGGGTGACTTCTTCCAAGACCACCCCTAGGACCTCAGCCTTTACTTCTGCAGAACTCTCCTCCACCCTGTCCACTACATCTCAGCAGCCCTCCCTCCCAGACAGCTGC